ACCATAATGCAATAAACCAGAAATTTCTAAATGTTTAAGTAATAGAAACCAACCTCTTTTTTTTTTTTTTTTTTGAGACGGAGTTTCACTCATGTTACCCAGGCTGGAGTGCAATGGCGCGATCTCAGCTCACCGCAACCTCCGTCTCCTGGGTTCAGGCAATTCTCCTGCCTCAGCCTCCTGAGTAGCTGGGATTACAGGCACGCACCACCATGCCCAGCTAATTTTTTGTATTTTTAGTAGAGACGGGGTTTCACCGTGTTGACCAGGATGGTCTCGATCTCTTGACCTCGTGATCCACCCGCCTCGGCCTCCCAAAGTGCTGGGATTACAGGCTTGAGCCACCGTGCCCGGCGGAAACCAACCTCTTAAAGAATCCCAAAACAGTCCTAAATAATTCTTTGATCAATGAGAAAATTCAAATTGCAAATACAGATTTTTATAATGATAATATAATGAGGCTAGGCTTGGTGACTGATGCCTGTAATCCCAGAATTTTTGGTAAGCCAAGAGAGGAGGATTTCTTGAGGCCAGGAGTTCAAGACAAGCCTGAGCAACATAGTGAGATCCCCATCTCTACAAAAAAAAAAATTAGTATTATTATTATTTTGAGAAAATCTTGCTCTGTTGCCTGGCTGCAGTGCAGTGGCACCATCTCAGCTCACTGCAATCTCTGCCTCCCGGGTTCAAGTGACTCCCCTGCCTCAACCTCCCAAATAGCTGTAATTACAGGTGCGTGCCACCATGTCCTGCTAATTTTTTGTATTTTAGTAGAGAGGGGTTTCACCATATTGGCCAGGATGATCTCAACCCCTTGACCTCGTGATCTACCCCTCAGCCCCCCAAAGTGCTGGTTTTACAGGCGTGAGCCATCGCGCCTGACCAAAAAAAATTTTTTTTAATTAGCCTGGCATGGTGACATGCACCGGTAGTCCCAGCTACTCAAGAGGCTAAGGCAGGTGTATTGCTAGAATCCAGGAGGCTGAGGCTGCAGTGAGCTAAGGTCACACTATGGGGCATAAATAACAATAGTTTATTAAGAGTGTTTTGTTGTTGTTGTTGTTTAAGAGACAGCATCTTGCTATGTTGCCCAGACTGGTCTTGAACTCCTGGCCTCAAGCAATCCTCCTGCCATGATGGCCTCCCAACATGCTAGGCTTATGGGCATGAGCCACTGCGCCCAGCCATATTATTATTTTATAATGAAATAAGCTTGGTGTTAGGGGCTTCTCATACTTTGTTTTATATAATCCTCACAATCACCCTAGGGTAGCACCCTGTTGCTAAGTAGGCACTCAGTAAACATTTATTGAATGAGAGGATGTGGCTCAGAGTTAAAAGTAACTTGCCTGGCTGGGTGCGGTGACTCGCACCTGTAATCCCAGCATTTTGGGAGGTGGAGATGGGGAGGAAGGATCCCTTGAGCTCAAGACCAGCCTGGGCAACATAGGGAGACCCCCGTCTCTGTGTGTGTTTTTTTTTTTTTTTTTTTTTTTGAGACGGAGTTTTTCTCTTGTTGCCCAGGCTGGAGTGCAATGGCATAATCTTGGCTCACCTAAACCTCCACCTCCTAGGTTCAAGCGATTCTTCTGCCTTGGTCTCCTGAGTAGCTGGAATTACAGGCACGTGCCATGCCTGGCTAATTTTGTATTTTTAGTAGAGATGGGGTTTCTCCATGTTGGTCAGGCTGGTCTCAAACTCATGACTTCAGGTGATCTACCTGCCTCAGCCTCCCAAAGTGCTGGGATTACAGGCATGAGTCACTGCACCCGGCCTGTGATACATATTTTGATCCATTCCATTTCATTAAAAAAAAGAATGCTGCTTGAGGCTCGCTAAATTGACTTCATGATCAGCACAAAATTTCATAAAGCTGCATTTTGGAAATCTTGTCCTCGACTAGGTGTTGGCAGGCTTCCTGCAAAGGGTCTGTTCATAAATATTTGAGACTCTGCAGCTCACAGTGTTTCTGCTGCAAGTGCAGCACTCAAACCATGCCATGTGCATCCTGAAAGTAACCACAGGCAATACATAAAGAAATGGTGTGGCTTTGCTTCAATATAAATTTAGAGACACTGTAATTTGAATTTTGAATAATTTTCTCGTGAACTCTTCTTCTTTTAGTAGTTTACAAGCCATGCAAAAACAAAAGGTGGGATTGATTTGGCTGGAAGCCATAGTTTACTGCTCCTTGCCCTAAACTGTAAGCTTTATGGAGGCAGAGACCACTTTCTGTCTTTTTTCCCCATTGCATCGCTAAGGTTTGACACAAAGCATTGTATGCATTCAATCAATAGTTGATAAATGAATTATTAAAGAGCAATTTGTATATTAAGCACTTTTATTACAAAATTACTATGTGTTCATGGAGGAAAAATAAGCAGTGCAGCTGAACAAAATGAATAAACAAATCCTTAGTAATCCCACCACTGGGAGATAACCACATCCTTTCCTAGTGTTATGCAATAGATGTCAGGAATTATGAAAATCTTATTTTTTGGCCATGGGAGACGTGAAAAGTTCTGTTTCTCCTTAATCCACCGGAGACCCACGCTTCCCCTTTCTGGCTGTAGGGGATGAAGCTGAGAGAAAAAATGAGGAGGGAAGGTGGAAAGTATGGGGGGAAAGCAATCTGATAAGCAGCTAATGAGCTCCTATAGTATGCTGCCATATGCCCGGCCAGGCTAGACCCTGGGGGATAGAGGTGGCACCCATCCCTTCTGGGTTGACGGTTGAAAGGGTAGACAAGAAATTACAAGTGTGATAATCGTGACCAAAGGGGATATGCAAGGTGCTATGAGGGCTTAATGTGGGGAGGGGTGTCAAACCTCATCTGGGTGTCAGGAAATGCTTCCTTTCCTAAGGAAGTGACATTTAGGCTGACACCTAGGCTGAGAAAGAATTAGTTGATGGAGGCACAAAATCCATCAACTAATTCTTTCTCAGCCTAGGTGTCAGCCTAAATGTCACTTTAGTTGTGATAATTGGAGATATGTTTAAGAGTGAAAGGTTTAAATGTCCATAATTTATTTTAAGATGGCTCTGCAAAATAGAAAAAGAGAAAAAGCAAACTATTAACAATTGTTGAACCTAGGTAGATGTGATTGTGCATGGTACCATTCATTTTCTCTATTTGAAAATTTGTATAATAAAAAGCAAAAAAAAAAAAAAAAAAAAAAAGAATTAGTTGAACAAGAACATGGGAAGTTCCGGCCAGGCACAGTGACTGATGCCCGTAATCCCAGCACTTTGGGAAGCCGAGATGGGTGGATCAACTGAGGTCAGGAGTTCAAGACCAGCCTGGCCAACATGGTGAAACCCTGTCTCTACTAAAAATACAAAATTAGCTGGGCACCGTGGCCGGTGCCTGTAATCCCAACTATTTGGGAGGCTGAGGCAGGAGAATCAGTTGAACCTGGGAGACGGAGGTTGCAGTGAGCGGAGATTGTGCACTGCATTCCAGCCTGGATGACAGAGTAAGACTATGCCTCGGAAAAAAAAGAAAGAAAGAAAAAAAAAAAAACATGGGAAGTTCCACAGTGAGAGAGTGGAACTTTCTTTAGAAACGTCTGGCTGGAGAGTCGACAGGGAAGGAAATGGCATGAGATCAGCCTGCAGAGGTTGGCAGGGACCCATTAGCAGAGCCTTGCCATCTAGACCTAACTGCCCGTTGAACAGAAACTGAAGAAGATAAATGAATACATTAAAAGCATCCTGAGGAAGTAATCAGCCAGCTCCAGAGTGAGGAACATTCTATGGGACAAATGATTCCGTGTCTTGTTAAATCAATGTCATGAAATAAGTAAAAGGCAGGGAGATGTGTTATAAAATGAAAGAGACTTAAGTGTAATATCAGCAGGACTTAATTGTTCACCCTAATCTCTTGGTTAAGGTCGTAACTGCCAGGTTTCTCCTCTGTCTTTCCCTTTCTATACGGTCAGCCCACACTCAAGGGACTGTAAGAGCTAAGGGAAGTCACTGCAGGGACTGAAACAAAGGAGAAATGAGGTCAGATGTCTTTTTTTTTTGGACAGTCTCACTGTCGTCCAGGCTGGAGTGCAATGGCATGATCTCAGCTCACTGCAATCTCCGCCTCCTGGGTTCAAATGATTCTCCTGCTTCAGCCACCTGACTAGCTGGGATTACCAGCACACACCACCACACCTGGTCAATTTTTGTATTTTAGTAGACATAGGGTTTCACCATGTTGATCAGGCTGGTCTCAATCTCCTGACCTTGTGATCCACCTGCCTTGGCCTCTCAAAGTGCTGGGATTACAGGCGTGAGCCACCTCGCCCAGCCCTCAGACGTCTTTTTTTTTTTTTGAGGCAGAGTTTCACTCTTGTTGCCCAGGCTGGAGTGCAATGGTTCGATCTCGGCTCACTGTAACCTCCACCTCCCAGTTCAAATGATTCTCCTGCCTCAGCCTCCCAAGAAGCTGGGATTACAGGCATGTGCCACCTCACCCAGCCCTCAGATGTCTTTTTTAGGAGGAATACTCTGGCTGCAATGTGGCGATGAGATATGGTGGCGTTTGCAGAGGGAATGGACATACCTTGAGTGATTTCAGGAGAACAGCTCAGCAGGAGTTATTATTAAATATGAGGTGGTGGGAAAAGGTGGAGTTGGGTAGCTGAGGTCTTTCACTCAATCCAAATCAAGGGCCTGTGTGCTCCCAGGAGGTTGCTTCACCCGCCCCCAGGAAGAAGCCACTTTCTGCTGCCCGGTCTTTCCTTGCCTTGGGGCGGGTCCCTGAGGGTTACTGGGGCTGGAAAGCCATCAGCCAACACAAATTAGGAGAGCCTTGGGATTACCAAGGAGGGTCAAAATCCTCGACTTGAGTTAAAGAGGAGATAGCCGTCGGGGGGGACTGAATGGGGCTGGAGGAATGTAGTCATCCCTAACTTTTTCTTTTCCGAAGCGGGCAGATCACCTGAGGTCAGGAGTTCGAGGCCAGCCTGGCCAACATGGTGAAACCCCGTCTGTACTAAAAGTACAAAAATTAGCTGGGTGTGGTGGCGGGAGCCTGTAATCCCAGCTCGGGAGGCTCAGGCCGCAGAACTGGAGAGGCGGCGGTTGCGGTAAACCGAGATTGCGTCACTGCACTCCAGCCTGAGCAACAAAAGCAAAACTCTGTCTCAAAAATATATATATATATATATATTTCTTTTCCTTCCGGGTTTAATAACCCAATTATGAGCATGTAATCAAAAGGTAAATGACTCAGTGGTTTCAAACAAGTAATTTTATTTACTTTTTCGTGTTTTACCAATCTGTCCTCCCCCTCGGCCCTGAGTGTTTTCACGTTTTCCTTTCGGAGCGTGTTTGGGGGGGGGACGACTACAGCCGCCGCACTTATCTCCGCCGGCGGGCCCCCCGCCCGGGTTTCTTTTCTCCTCGGCGCCTTCGGGTGCGGGCGGGAGGAACGGAGGGAGTTGGGGACCGGGGTGCGGGGCCGGGAGCCGGGCGGGCCCCGCTCCCTTGCGCAGGCTTGTAAACCAGGTGGAAGATGAAGGCGTTGCAGTACCTGCGGGCCGCGGGGCGCGGTCAGGGACCAGCGGGCGGAGCTCCAAGGGGCGGGGCTTGCCCCTCCGAGTTCCAGGGCGTGGGGCTAGACTCAGAGTTGGCTTTGTTAGAGGGTCGCAGGGTCTTTTGTGGACTGGGGAGATTCTGCGACCTAGATCTAAAGAGGGGTGTGCTGGGGATTGTCGAGACCTCCCATGGGGGTGACCAGTAGTGGGAGCAGAGAAGGCAGGTTGCTGGGTTGGGGGCAAGAGGGTCCCAAGACGGTGGGGACTAGGGCAGAGGTGGGTCTTTCAGAGAGTAAGAGAAGCGAAGGGTCAGGAAGGAGATAGGGTCGCAGGCCCTTACCAGGGCATGCAGTTGTCGGCCGCTCTGAGGCGAAAGGGGGAGCGGAAGGGGTTGAGCTGGGGACGGCTAGTGCCCCCTCCAGTGGCCACCGCCATGGTCTGGCCGTCCATCACGCAGCCATACTCGCTGCTCTCGGTGAAGAAGGCTGGCACTCGGAGGGACTGGGTGGGGCAAGACTCGCTCTGAGAGCCCCCTCTACAGATCCATCCCAGCAGCCAGGATAACAGACAGGGCTGAAAGCCGAGGCCCCGGGACAGATCTGGCGGGAGGGGGGCAGGAGGAGGCCCGAGACAGACACAGAGAGGGGCAGAGGGACCCGTGGGCATTCCCCAGGTCTGTGGAGCAGGTGATGGTGCAGAGGAGAGCCCGGAGACTTTCAGAAAAGGAGATGGGGTGGGGTCAGGCAGGAGGGGAGAGAAGTTCCCGTTTGTCCCCATTGCTCACCTGCAGGCGGGGCAGAGAGCTCAGCCATGTATCCTTGAGACCAAACCCAGAGTTAAATCCTGCAGAGAGGTTGGAGACGCTGGCTCCCATGGTCGGCTTCTCTCCCGCCTTCCGCATGTGCCTACCCCTGAGCCCCAGGCTCTTACCAATAACCAGGTCGGGCTTGGGCCCCTGGAGCAGGTGGTAGGACCTTGCTGACACCTTGATCTGCAGGTCCCTGCGGCTACCCTTCTCCTTAGTGCCAGAGCTGGGCCGTGCTGATACGCCAGAACCATTCCGGACAGACACCTCGGGGCCGTCCTGAGGGGCCACGAGAGGGATGGAAAAGCCACAGGAAGTCAGGGAACTGGAGGATGCACCAGCAAGATGGGGAGTCGAGGGCAGAAGGGCAGGGCCCAACCAGGGGGTCACTGGAGGGGTCATGGCTAAAGAGCAGAGCCCCCTCAGCCCTCACCCTCTGCAAGGTAAAATGCTGCTGGTCGCTTTCGGGGGACAGGCCATCACCTACAAACTGCAGCTCCAGGGCCACATGAGGGAGCAGGACCAAGAGCTCCTGGAGGACAGAAAGAAGGACAGATCTGGGTTCTACCCAGTATCCACCCCCACACCACAATGCCCAACCTTCAGTGCTGGGGGGGGACTTACCCAAAAAACCATGACAAGGTCAAACTCCTTCCCGGCCTCCACCACGTGGATCTTCAGTGACTGTTTGTTCTGGATGTTGAGCTCAGGGACTGGGTGAGAAACCAGCTCTTTAAGGATGTGGTCCACTCTCACTCCCCCATCTCGCCCACACCCCCCACTCAGCTCTCCTTACAGTACTGGGGCACCAGGTGGGTGATGACGTAGTACACAGTCAGCGGGTAGGTGAGAAGCACAGCCATGGGGGAGTCCAAGCTGAGGCCCCGCCATGTGTAGTAATCCTGCCATGAGCCTGGGAGGAGGGGGTTACTAGAGGACCTGGCCCTGGACTCCACCCCCTCTAGTCTAATAGCCTGCTTCTTCACAGTCACTCAGGCTCTGGTTCTCCAGTCCCTGTCCCCACCCATAGCTCCCACAGGGCCCCTCCACCTCACCAAAAAGACCCCGCGGTGGGTCTGGGGGCACAGGAGGCATTAGGGCAGGCCCATCCCCCTGGAGAAGCTGGTAGGGATCTCCTGAGAGGACAAAAGAAAGAAGAGCCTGGGGTCAGGGAGACTCCTCCCACCTGACCCATCCTTCCAAAGGAGGTGTATTCCCTGAGAAAGCTGCAGTAAGTGGAATGGGGGTTTGTGTAGGCACGGGGCTTCTGGGTGGAGTTGGTAGGGGTGACTCCATGGAGGGCTGGGGAAAGGCCTGAAATGGCCCTGGTGCTGTTGGTAGGGGGTCAGTGTGTATGTGGAGGGATTATCTGGGAGGGACCCAGATAACTTCTTCCTAGTCCTTCCCTCTAGGCCGAGGGGCCCATGCCTGAAGAGAGACCCCACGCACCACCGAGAAGAAGGCTAAGGGATGGTGTGTTGCCTCGGGGATGCCCAGAGGAGCCGGGCCCTGGAATCAGCATGCTGAGCTGGGTCCAGTAGCCACGAGTGAGGCCTCGAGAGGCCAGGAAGGCCTCCTTGTTGAAGGTTTCACTGGTCACCTCTGGAGAAGGAGAAGGGGATGAATTGAGGCGGGGGGCTAGCGCCCACTTTTCTTTTTCTTTTTTTTCTTTGAGACAGAGTCTTGCTCTGTTACCCAGGCTAGAGTACAGTGGCATGATCATGGATCACTGCAGCCTCGACCTCTTAGGCTCAAAGGATTCTCCCACCTCAGCCTCCCAAGAATTGTGACTACAAGCCTGTGTACCATGCCTAGCTAATTTTTTCTATTTTTTGTAGAGACAGAGTCTATGTTGCTCAGACTGGTCTCAAACTCCTGGGCTCAAGTTAGTTTCCCAACGTGCTGAGATTACAGGTGTGAACCATTGCCTGGCCTAGAACCCCAGACTAACTCTCCTCAGCCTCCTCTAAGGACTCTGGATCTAAGTCTGGTTCCAGTCAGGCAGGGAACTACCATTTCTGAGGGTCTCCAGTGTACCAGGCACGAAGCCCACGTAATCCTTGTGACAATTCCATGGGCCTTTACATTTGTTAGCATCCCTCTTTTGCAGATGAGGAGATGGAGGCTCCAAGAAGTAAAGTGGTTTTTGTTTTTTTATTTGAGATGGAGTCTCACTCTGTCACCCAGACTGGAGTGCAGTGGCATGATCTCAGCTCACAGCAACCTCAGCCTCCCAGGTACAAGTGATTCTTCTGCCTCCACCTCCCGAGTAGCTGGGACTACAGGTGTATACCACCATGCCTGGCTAATTTTTGTATTTTTAGTAGAGACAGGGTTTCACCATATTGGCCAGGCTGGTCTTGAACTCCTGACCTTGTGATCCGTTTGTCTCAGCCTTCCAAAGTGCTGGGATTACAGGCGTGAGCCACCATAACAAAACAAATCACTGTAAAGTGATTTAAGGTCACACTGCCAGTTAGTGGTGGAGCTAGGAAGCAAGTAAGTATTTGAATCCCTATTCCCCAATCCCTGCACTCTCTTGGTGACCTAGACATTCAGTCCTTGGCTTCAGAGACCCTGTCTCCAGCCTCAAACATCCAGCCCCTGCCTTTATTCCAGGGATCTAGGCTCTAGCCCCAGACAGTCAGCCTTCAACTCCAGGACCCTGTTTCCAGACATCTAATTCCTTTTTTTATTTTCCCAAGATGGAGTCTTGCTCTGTCTCCCAGGCCAGGGTGTAGTGGCACAATCTCAGCTTACTGCAACCTCCGCCTCCCGGGTTCAAGCAATTCTCCTGTCTCAGCCTCCTGAGTTGCTGGGATTACAGGCATGCCCCACACCTGGCTAATTTTGTATTTTTAGTAGAGATGGCATTTCACCATGTTGGCCAGGCTGGTCTCAAATTTCTGACGTCCTGATCCACCCGCCTTGGCCTCCCAAAGTGCTGGGATTACAGATGTGAGCCACTGCGCCTGGCCAGACATCTAATTCCCAGTCTCAAAGACACGATCCCAGTTTTCCCCAACCATTCTGACCTCCTTATGGTACCTGTGGTGTAGGTAAAAGGCAGGGCTGCCAGTTCTCCTGCCCGCTCCACGAAGGCTGCAAGCTTTGGGCACCAAAATCGGTGGCTCACATCATCTGGGCACCGCCGCCAGTCAGCCTGGAGACAAGCCTCTCCACAATACAAGACAGCACTACACTGGGGGCTGGGGACACAGTGGGTGGTGGGCACCCAGTGTTAGCCTCTGTAGGTCCTGTCTGCTGTCCATCTGCCCAGCAGCTACCCCTGTGTCACTCCGTCTGTTTGTCTTACACCCTCTAACCGTCTGTAACAGCCCATATTGTTTCCTCTTCATCTTTTCATGTCCCTGCCCCTCCTTCTGTCTGTCTGCTAGGCACCCCCCACCAGCCTGCTTTCTATTTGCCTGACTGTTGGGGTCTTCCTCTGCCCCCAGCTTTGGGGCTGCTCACCAGGGTGTCAGCTTCACTTCAAAGCTGTGCCTGTGACAAACGTGGCAGGTTCGAGCACGAAGGGAAGCAAAGGTGAAGCCTGGTCGGGGACCCCATGTCCGCATTGGGGTCTTGGCTAACTTCACACCTAGCCTTGGGACCAAGCTCTCCAGCTCTCTAAATAGGGGTGGAGATGGCAGCAGACTGGAGCGGTGCTTGGGAATCCAGGGCCCCAGCCCTCCCCAGCCTCAGATATCAGATTTCTGTACCGATGCAGCCGGGCATCTCCCACAGTAAGCTGTCGGGGCTTTCGGGGGTCCCCGGAGCCCATGGGACAGGCCATGCTGTGACAGAGGAGCACATAGGCCCGAGGAGCCAGGTTCTCAGTCCCTGAGCCCCAGCTTCCAGTCCCCTGGGCTCCATCCACCAGCAGATCAATGCCCAAGATGGTGCCATGCTCATCCGTCACCAGTAAGAGACAGGAAAGGTGCAGGGGGGCAGCCTCTGGGGAAAGAGGGAAAAGTTGGAGTGGTAGGGGGCAGCAAGAGACAAATATGGTCAGAGTCAGGAGTACTGAACTCAAATACCTACAGGGGCTAGGCAAGTAACCTCACTGAGCAAAGGCCACTGGGGAGAGAGGGCATGCTCCTTCTTTTCCTTTTTTTGAGAGGAAGTTTCACTCTTGTTGCCCAGGCTGAAGTGCAATGGCAGGATCTTGGCTCACTGCAACCTCTGCCTCCTGGGTTCAAGCGATTCTCCTGCCTCAGCCTCCTGAGTAGCTGGGATTACAGGCATGTGCCACCACACCCAGCTAATTTTATATTTTTAGTAGAGATGGAGTTTCTCCCTGTTGGTCAGGCTGGGCTCGAACTCCTCACCTCAGGTGATTCACCTGCCTCAGCTTCCCAAAGTGCTAAGATTACAGGCATGAGCCACCATGCCCAGCCAAGGGCATGCTCCTTCTAAAGGGAACAGCTGCTATACAGGACCAGAATGCACTGCTGTGCAGAAATGTGGGCCCACTGCCAGAGCTTGAGATTTTTCTTGGGAATGTGTAAATCCAGACTTCTGGATACATTTTTTCTTGCAATGTTTAAACATTAAATTTAAAAAACCCAAAAAACAAACAAACAAAAAACACTGTGGGTTAGTAAAAAACGTTTTCAGGCCAGATTGGCCTGAGGGCCAGCACTCAGAGCTAGTGGCAGGGGAGGGCTTCCGAAGGAAGGATGGCTGGGCAAGGGGTAGGGCTGGGCCAGCCCTCGGTTCTTACCACTCCTCCGTCCCTTCCTCTTCTGGGGTCTTGTTTTGTCCTCCACCCTGTTCTCTCGGCAGCCATCCTCACCACCTCCTGCCTCCTGCTCAGCCTCCTCTGACTCTCCTGGAGGGTTTACTTCCTGGGGGGACTCCCTGCTAGTAGGGGCTAGCTCCCGATCCTCCTCTGGTTCCACCTTCTCTGTGCCTGCACCCCCCTCCTCTCTCTTCTTTTCTTCTTCATCTTCCTCCTCTTCCTCCTCCCCTTCCTCCCCATCCTCTAGGCTGACAAAGCTGATGTAGGGGCTCAGGTCTCGAAGGTGGAGTGGAGGGTCGTCTCCCAGGAGTCGGGCAGCCCCCAGGCCTGGTCCAGGGCCTGGCTCTGCCCCTTGCCCCAGGCTGATGCCCACACTACGGTTGGGCAAGACATGGAGCGCCCAAAGGGCAGGGTCCTGGGGCAGCCTTCTGATCTGGGCCTCCAGCTGTCGCCAGCGGCCCTCCAGGCTGGTCCCTACTGCCCCACGCTCTGCCACAAACTTTCGGAACCAGCCAAACAGAAGGGCAGCGAAATCAAGGAACTCATCCCGGTATCCAGACACAAACTCCATGTCTTCAGGGACACAGGGCCCCGGCCCAGACTAAGCAAAGGAAGGGATATATCGTGAGGGACAGAGTAGGAATGAGAGAGTTTGGGGCTGGGTCACAAATTGGAGGAGAGGGTAGGTAAGAGTCACTTAGGGTTCGATCTGTGGATAGGCTAGGAGCTGAGAAGAGGGTTTTCAGGGCTGAGGATGGGAGTTCAGGGAGAAAAATGGGGGCAGGACTTGAAACTGGGTGACTACGGTTGGAGAAGACTACTCAGGGATGAGATGGTATTTGGGGCTTAAAATTGGAGAATTCAGACCCTCAAAAGTAGAGTTTAAATGAAGGCTAGAGACGAGAGAGGGCTAATTCTATCGGGACGGGTCTGGCGAGGAGGGAAGCATTTTGGATGCGTCTGTGGGGCATGGGAGTGGGAGAGGGTTTGTCCTGGGCTCGGATCGGTGTGGCGGGGAGACCCGGTAGGCGTAGCCCCTCCCGGCCGCCCCACTCCTCCGGTACCTGCAGCCGCTGCCACTTTTCAAAGGTAAATACCGCGGGGTGGAGGGTGCGCGGGTTCGGTCGTGACGTCAGGGCTGCCCGAGGCCCGGCCGGCTCAGCGGGCGGTCACGCCCCCCCCGCCCCAGCACTGGGCTTGGTGCGTCCGCGTGTGGCGGCCCCGAAGGGGCGCGCGGCTGGGGCTGGCGGCTGCTCCCTCCACCGCGCCACCCCGAGGCTCATCCAGCGCTGCTGGGTCCCGCGGCACGGGAGCGGGGAAGTGAAAGTGCCTTGGAGAAGGAGGGCCGGGGCAGCCGTGACCCGCTTCTCAGGCCCGCGGGCAAGTGGGGCGGGCGGAGGGGCTGGGCTCCTGAACCCAACCGAATCGCCTCCTCGGGCCGCCATCGTCCCGCCCCGCCTCTCCTCGCCAGCCGCAGGAGTGTTCTTTCGGTTTCCTCTGAGATTCCTGGCCGTCCCTCGATGGAGCTCGAGCCCAGTGCGGGGGCTCAGGGCGCGGGTGCTCCACCTCCCGGACTTTCCCAGCGGCCTGAGGCTGGCGCGGCGCGGACCCGGCGAGGAGCGCAAGGTTAGGGCGCAGCGGGGCAGGGGGGCGCCGCCGGCTCTCGCCTTCTCCCCAGGCGGGACGTGGCGTCGACTGCTGCGGTCTCCTCCGACCCCTGGCAAAAGCCATTGAGAAACCAGCTGGACGTCACGCGCCGGAGCCTGTCTGGGAGTCAGAGCGAGGCGACTCCATCCCCGCAGCTTCCGCGGAGCCCCGAGATGCGGCGGGCCTGGGGACCCGGGTCCCTCGCGCTCCTGCTTCAGCTCCTCCAGCTCGCGTACCTGACTCTGCCAGGTTAGCCGGGGGAGGGGCAGGGGACTCAGATCCTCAAGTCAAGGGAAGGGGGTGAGTCGGGGAGGGGGCACGAGGCCCACGGAGTTGGGTTGATGAAGGCAGCGGGAACAGAGGAAAGCCAGCCAACCACCTACGGTTGGGGACAGCGGCCGGGGGACATCTGGCTCCCGGCGGGATTATGGACGTTGTGGAGGGCGTAATGATGTGTGGGTTGAACCTGGCGCTCTGCCCCCGGGGCTTACGGGAGAGGCTGTAATGAGGCAGTGGATTGGAGGCCAGGGAACAGCGGAGTGGAGACCCTGGGTCTGGGAACGGGTGCCGACAACCTGTCTCGCTCAGGCAATGGCAACGAGGGCAGCGTCACTGGAAGCTGTCACTGTGATAAAATAATTTCTTCGGACTCTCCGCCATCGGCTCAGTACATATATCATCTCCGAAAACATCTGAAATCTTACCATCACTGTCCGCGCTACGTCAGGTAATTTTCTCGCCTGCCTCTGCGACGGCAGTTCCTGCGCGGTCCCTCCTTGCCAGGTGCCTCCAGGACCTTCTCCGGTCAAACCTGGACTACTTCCCGGCGCACCTCGCCCGGTCTCCGGGTTCTGTTTGCTCCCATTCCCCAAAACTTCATTACTCCGACGCACCTACCGGGGAATTTCCCAGCCCCAGGAGAAAGGGCTTTTTCTTGGTGGCGACTTCACGCCTCTGGAATGAGGAAGGAGCTGGGGAAGGAAAGTAGGAGCCGCAGCTGAGCCCAGGTCTCTCCCCCGCAGGTTCCAGCTGCCTCTCCGAAGCGTGTGTGGGAGCAGCAAGGACCCATGGGTTCAGGAATTGAAGAGCTGCCTTGATCGCAGAGGTGAGACTTCCCCGCTGCTCTTCAGGCTCTGCCCCCATGGCTTAGCGGCTTCCACCTGACAGTTTTCTTTACCTGAACCTTTTCCCCTGCGACTGCACATTCCTAGAAACTTCTGATCCTGTCCAAAGCACTTAGACTCTAGTCCCTGTTTGCCAAACAGGGTGATCATTCACCATCACCTTCATGATTTTTGCCAATTCATTCTACCACGTGTGCTATTGTCTATTTATTAATATTTTTCTTGAAATCAAAGTACTATTTTTCTTTTCCAGTATTTTATGAAAATTCAGACATATGTAAAAGTTGAAAGAATGGCACAGTGAATATCCAATGCCTCCACCTAGATATTACAATTTTATTTATATACGTATATTTTAAATATTTACATAAACAAATATATATTTTACAATATCAATGTTACAGCACTGACATGACATTTGCTTTACTGCGTATCAATCTATTCATCCTTCTGTCCATTATCAATCACCTTGTTTCTGGATGCATTTCAAGGCAGGTTGCAGGCATCATTGTGCTTCATCCCAAAACATTTCAACATGTATATTAAGTAGCGTTCAATATTTTAACAATCTTTTTTCTTTTGAGTTCAAATTTACATACAGTGAAATGAATTAATTTTAAGTGTGCAGAAACCAGTTTTGAAAACTTAGAGGTTGGGCACGGTGGCTCATGCCTGTAATCCCAGCACTTTGGGAGGCCAAGGCAGTGGACCACCTGAAGTCAGGAGTTGGAGCCCAGCCTGACCAACGTGGTGAAACCTCGTCTCTACTAAAAATACAAAATTAGCTGGCCATGGTGGCACGTGCCTGTAATCCCAGCTATTCAGGAGGCTGAGGCAGGAGAATCGCTTGAACCCTGGAGACAGGTTGCAGTGAGCTGAGATCACGCCATTGCACTCCAGCCAGGGCAACGAAAAAAAAAAAAAAAAAGAAAATTTAAACAGCAAATTATCCTAAGCAATAACCTCTGTGAAGTCACAAGTTTAATGCACTAGTTGTATTTTTCTCCTAAAATAAATATACAACCATTAAAATACCAAAGGTTCTTCCATGAGCTAGCTAAACTTTTGTAGGATCAGCATCACCCACACTGCCTTTAAGTCTGCCCAGACCTGTATGATTTTCTTTAATCCTCCCAGCTACCCTGGCCCTTGGTACTACAATTATCCTCATTTTACAGCTAGAAGAAATCAGTTCCAGAGAAGTTGGAGACAAGGGGCGAGGTTACACAGCTACTGGAGGTTTCAGAGCTACTTGAGGTTACACAGCTACTTTACAGCAGAGCCAGGACTCCAGCCTTGGTCTCCTGACTTCCCAGTTCATGACACATACTTGTCTCATGGTTTGCTCACTTCCTTGTTCCCTACCTTTTCTCACTGTCACCGCCTTCCTCTTCTGGCTTTCAGCTTGATATTCTCCCTGACTCACTCCTCTTCCCTCTGTTGGAGCTCAGAACATGACACCCCAAAACATGGTACCTTGGTAATTAAGAAAACAGCAGATGTAGGCCAGGTGCAGTGGCTCACGCCTGTAATCCCCGAGACGGTCAGATCACCTAAGGTCAGTAGTTCGAGACCAGCTTGGCCAACATGGCAAAATTCCATCTCTACTAAAAATACAAAAAAAAAAAAAAAATTACCTGGGCTTGGTGGCACACACCTGTAATCCCAGCTACTAGGGAGGCTGAGGCAGGAGAATTGCTTAAGCCCAGGAGGCAGAGGGTGCAGTGAGCTGAGACCACACCATTGCACTCCAGCCTGGGTGACAAGAACGAAACTCAGTCTCAAAAACAAAAACAAACAAAAAAACATCAGCAGAAGTAAGTAGCTCACTCTGCTCTTTCCATTTTTCTGTGAGATCTGGCCATAAAGGAATTCTATGACTTCACCTGGAAGTAGGTCATAAGGCAGTCATTTCAGAGGGGTCCTGCCCTATACTTGGAGGCCAAGAAGAATCTGGACAGGCCTTGCTGTCCCCCCAAAGCCGCCATTTATTACCATTAGATCCTACTCTTTTTGTCCAATCATACGTTTTTGTTTTTTCTGAGATGGAGTTTCGCTTTTGTTGGCCCAGGCTGGAGTACAATGGTGCAATCTCGGCTCACCTCAACCTCTGCCACCTGCGTTCAAGCGATTCTCCTGCCTCAGCCTCTCGATAGCTGGAATTACAGGCATGCACCACCACGCCCGGCTCATTTTTGTTTATTTAGTAGAGATGGAGTTTCTCAATGTTGGTCAGGCTGGTCTCCAACTCCCGATCTCAGGTGATCCACCCGACAAAGCCTCCCAAAATGCTGGATTATAGGTGTGAGCCACCACACCCAGCCTACTTCTTTTTTTTTTTTTTGAGACCGAGTCTCACTCTGTCGCCCAGGCTGGAGTGCAGTGGTGTGATCTCAGCTCACTGCAACCTCCCGGGTTCAAGCGATTTTCCTTGAGTAGCTGGGACTACAAGCGCCCACCACCATGCCTAATTTTTTGTATTTTAGTAGAGACAGGGTTTCACTATGTTGCCCAGGCTGGTTTCCAACTCCTGACCTCAGGTGATCCACCCGCCTTAGCCTCCCTAAGTGTTGGGATTACAGGCATGAGCCACTGCACCCAGCCTGTCCAATCCTACTTCTATACAATGGTCCATTCTTCAGCAAGCCTAAGTATAAAAATACACTTTTTCCTGGGTCTTTGAGTCTTCATTTCTGAAGGTTCCTATGTGCTGTAAAACTTAGATGAAATAAATGTTAGGCTTTTCTCTTGTTAATGTTGTTTATAGGGGTATCAGCCTTAACTGTTGTCATGCGTGAGGAAAATACATTACTTTTTCTCCCCTACACTTCTATCTGCTTTTTCACGTCCCCTAATGGTCCTGATTCTTCATTTATTTCCTCTCCAGAATGTGGACATGCTTACTTGGGGAGTGCAGCCCACCGGGAGCATTTGCCTCCTACCAGCCCCCCTACTTCTCGGGCCTCAGAGCGGACAGCTTCAGACATCCGTACCCCTGCCCAGATGCTCCTGTCCACCTTGCAGCCCACCCAGCAGCCCACCCACCCACCAGGATCACTATCCTTGGACAAAGAGCTCACCCATCCCAGTGAAACCACTATTCCCACTGTGGGCCACAATCTAGGAGTTGGACCTGAGGCTGGGGAGAACCAGAAGCAGCTGGAAAAAGCAGCTGATCCTACAGCTGGGACATCAGCCATAGCACCGGTGCTGTCCCTCCTGGCCATCGTCTTCATCCTCACAGCACTTCTTTCCTATGTGCTATGCAAGAGGAGGATGGGCCAGTCACCGCAATCCCCTCCAGGTAAACTGGACCTCTGAACCCTTCCCCCTGGGACCCCGAGCCTTCCTGACAGGGATCCTGACCCACTAGCTCTCAGGTGGCTGGAACCCTGGCCTTGGCACTCAAGTATCAAGGTTGTCTGCACAGGTTGACTGCAGGCCCTCTGAGGCCAGTCAGCCAGGGACTGTAGAGAGTGGAGAGGGAAGGAAGCGACCATGGGCACAAGGGCTAGTGCTTGGAGCAACATCATGGAGATGGCAGCTAGAGCAAGCTAGTGGCAGACAAAGCTGTGGAGGGAGGTGAGGGCCAGTCATTCAATTCACAAATTTTCACTGAGCACCTACTGTGGGCCATGTCATAGGGTTAGTGTCTTGAAGTCTGATTCCCTAGTTCAAGCTATCATCCCCCCATCACTCTCCTTGATCTCAGAGCTCATTTCTCAATTTCTTTATCCTTTCCAGATTTGCAGCTTTATTATACACCTGTGGCACCTGACTCTAATATCTGAGGTGAGAATGTGAGCTCGTGAGGGTAAACTGTGGTTTACTTTCATAAAAAGCATAATAAACGAGACCAATCACTGACAACATGGTAGGCACTGTATACGTACTTGTTTTTCTGTTTTTAGAGACGGGCTCTCACTATGTCACCCAGACCATTCTGGAACTCGTGTCAAGTGATCCACCCACCTTGGCCTCCTGAAGTGTGAGGATTATAGGCATGGCCTACCACATCTACCCTACATGTATTCCGTCTGTTGGAGCTCAGAACGCAACACACCAAAACATGGCACCTTGGTAATTAAGAGCAGATGTAGGCCAGGCACAGTGGCTCATGCCTGTAATCCCAGCACTATAAAAAATATAGAAAATTAGAAATTTTTTAAAATTAAAAAAAATTAAAAAAGGTTATACTATAAAATCTGCTTTTTATACTGGGTGATAATAACTTGGACAAATTCTATATGTATGTTTCTTCAGTTTTTTGTTTTTTTGAGACAAAGTTTCACTCTTGTTGCCCGGGCTGGAGTGCAATGGTACGATTTCGGCTCACTGCAACCTCTGCCTCCCAGGTTCAAGTCATTCTCCTGTCTCAGCCTCCCAAACAGCTGGGATTACAGGCTCGTGCCACCACGCCCAGCTAATTTTTTGTATTTTTAATAGAGAGGAAGTTTCACCGTGTTAGCCAGGATACTCTTGATCTCCTGACTTAGTGATCCACCTGCCTTGGCCTCCCAAAGTGCTAAGATTACAGGTGTGAGCCACCTTGCCCCGCCTGTGTTTTTTTTTTTCTTTGAGATGGAGTCTCGTTCTGTCTCCCAGTCTGGAGTGCAGTGGTACAATCTTGGCTCACTCCAGCCTCCACCTCCTGGGTTCAAGCAATTCCTGTGCTTCAGCCTCCCAAGTAGCTGGGATTACATGTGCCTGCCACTCCACCTGGCTAATTTTTGTATTTTTAGTAGAGGCAGGGTTTCACCATGTTGGCCAGGTTGGTCTCGCACTCCTGACCTCAAGTGATCTGCCCGCCTCGACCTCCCAAAGTGTTGGGATTACAGGCGTGAGCCACGGTGCCTGGCCCTATGTGTTTTTTTTTTTTTTTTTGAGACGGAGTTTCACTCTTGTTACCTAGGCTGGAGTGCAATGGCGCGATCTCGGCTCACCGCAACCTCCGCCTCCTGGGTTCAGGCAATTCTCCTGCCTCAACCTCCTCAGTAGCTGGGATTACAGGCACGCGCCACCATGCTCAGCTAATGTTTTTGTATTTTTAGTAGAGACGGGGTTTCACCATGTTGACCAGGATGGTCTCGATCTCTCGACCTCGTGATCCACCCGCCTCGGCCTCCCAAAGTGCTGGGATTACAGGCGTGAGCCACTGCGCCCGGCCTCCTATGTGTTTTTTTAACTACTAAAAATTATTTTTATAATGATTGAGTCTTCTTTAGGGAGACAACTGGCCTCAGGCCCTTGTACCCCTACCATGATTCCTGGGTTCTGCTTTTTTTGCTGATGGCTCCCCCTATCCCAACTCTCCTACCATACCAGTTGTTCCTCCTCCACCTCAGCCTTCTCCTGCTTCCTTCCCTAGCCCTACAATGAAGGCCTGGGCTTTCCCACCCTCCCTCCTTAGCAGGTGCTGTGCTGGGATGCCATCTGGGCTGGTTTTACTTCCTCAGTCCCTTGCATACCCCAGTAAGAGTCTGATCTTCTTTTTATTGTTGTTGCTTTTATTATTAAAATTCTAGTTCTCGTCTCTCCCAGTGAAGAAGAATGTATCTTCATTAGGCCAATTCTGCGCGAAGCCTGGGGCAGGAGCATGAAGTGTTTGAGGAAGTGGGTTGGATGTGTGAGTTTCCATCTCTGTCTGAGCCTGTCAGGGTGTTGGTGGAGTACAGGGCAGGAGCACCCTGCTGGAGAGGCCAGGGCATAGCTGTGGGTAGGCTCAGGCTTCAGTTTTTCCATGCCCACCATTTGCCCCTTTGTCTTTGACGGAGTTTCACGAAGTTGGCCAAGCTAGTCTCAAACTCCCGACCTCACATGATCCTCCGGCCTCGGCCTCCTCAAGGGTACTTTGAGCAGCAGGGCATGTAGGTGCCCATGCTCCCCATCCTACATGTTCCCAGGTTCTTTCCCATGGCGCAGGCGATGGTCTCTCTCTGAGCTCTGGGTCCACCTTCCTGGCCTAGTTCTCCAGCATCTGCTCACAGGTTCGAGCCACATCACTGAGCTTGAGGCGGGCATAGTCCACTCGCTTCAGAGCCATCTGACAGTCCTTCCTCGAAGAGTAGCTGGAGCCCTCATGGGGCTGCCCTGTGGCCACCTACAAGACAGACTATCAATGGAGCACCATCTCCTTTGCCCTTACTCCAACCAGGCATCAGGTCTCTTGCCTCATTTCTACCCTGAGTTTGAATTTGTTATGCCGCCTGGTAACTGGGTAAATAAATCATTTAACTTATGCTAATCTTATCTGTAAAATGGGGGTGACGATAGCTGCTTACTAGAGTTGTTGAGGATTAGATAAAATAATGCAGAGTATCTGGCACACCATAAATATTAGTAAATGGCAGTGGTCCTTGTGACGACTTCAGAATGTCTCAATCCTGTCCCTCTTCTCAGGATAGATCTGGGGGCCAAGTGTAGTGGCTCACACCTGTAATCCCAGCACTTTGGGAGGCTAAGGCAGGCAGATCACGAGGTCAGGAGATCGAGACCATCCTGGCTAACATGGTGAAACCCTGTCTCTACTAAAAATACAAAAAATTAGCCAGGCGTGCTGGTGTGCGCTTGTAATTCCAGCTACTCGGAAGGCTGAGGCAGGAGAATTGCTTGAACCAGTGAAGCAGAGGTTGCAGTGGGCCAAGATTGTGCCACTGCACTACTCCAGCCTGGGCAACAGAGCAAGACTCAGTCTTAAAAAAAAAAAAAAAAGTAAGGCCGGGCGCGGTGGCTCAAGCCTGTAATCCCAGCACTTTGGGAGGCCGAGGCGGGTGGATCACGAGGTCAAGAGATCGAGACCATCCTGGTCAACATGGTGAAACCCCGTCTCTACTAAAAAAATACAAAAAATTAGCTGGGCATGGTGGTGCATGCCTGTAATCCCAGCTACTCAGGAGGCTGAGGCAGGAGAATTGCCTGAACCCAGGAGGCGGAGGTTGCGGTGAGCCGAGATCGCGCCATTGCACTCCAGCCTGGGTAAAATGGGGAAAACCCCCGATCGGAAGAGCGTCGCTAAAAAAAAAAAAGTATCTGGGACCTCGTGCCCTTGAGGTCAGGCTAAGTTTCCAATGACAAAGTTCTGTAGTTCTAGTATTATTTACAAGCCTTCACCCAGGCACATGTGATGCTACCCAGTGAGGTATGCCCGGCTGCCTTTAATTCTTTCCTTCTTTTATTATTTTTATTTTTTTGAGACAGAGTTTTTGCTCTGTTGCCCAGACTGGAGTACAATGGCATGATCTTGGCTAACTGCAACCTCTACCTCCTGTGTTCAAGTGTTTCTCCTTCCTTAGCCTCCCGAGTAGCTGGGACTATAGGTGCCTGCCACCACAGCCAGCTTTTCTTTTTTTTTTTTTT